ATTCAAAGGAGTAAAATTAGTCTGTCCGGTGATATTGGACGAAAAAAAAAGAGTAATGGCCATAAACATGAGGTAGTTAATGCGTGGCCACAACATAATTGCAGCAGTCATTTCCGAGGAGAAACTGGATTGTTCAAATTTTACTTTAATATAGGAATGAATAACATTCTTCAGTCACTTGCGGTTAGGTTTAAGTAATTCTTAGCATTATGTATTGCTGCTATAAGACACAGGTGACGACTGGAGTTGTCTTTGTCCAAAAAAGGCTTTATTTGTTTTAAGCTCAACACTCAAAACAGGCTCCTCTCTCACACTCCATGCCTTTGCTGCAGAAGGAGTCAGAATTACAAAATGTCACGTTCAAGATCAGAAAAAAAAAGTGTTTCTCAATATACACTTAAAGCATTCCATGTTATCTGATTATACAAATAACCATTTAGACTGAATCATGAAGGTGTACTCTTTGAAATGGGCATATACCAAAATAATAATAAAAATAAGAGTGGGGTACCTTTTAACAGTTAAAATCAAACACAGTGAGTTACTTTCCCGGCATTAAGTAAGGCATGACCACGCATATGCTATATATATTTTTTTTAATCCAAAATCATCGGATGGGCTTTGTACAAAATAAAAACTACTACATGTTCTTTTACACGATGAAGTGTTTCCTCTACCATTATTGTAACAATACCCAATAACAAAACAACTCACCTGCTCCAACTTGTTATCCCAGTACAATAGAAATGTCAACACTGTCTGATGACATTTTTTACCCTAACATATGTGGAGTTGCACAGAAGACAACCTACCGTGTACTGTTTTATGGATGGATAGACATTATGTTGGGAACAAAAGTGTTTGACATTTCTGTGGTACTGGGATGTCAAGCTGGAACAGAGACAAGGTTTTAACMAAGAATCCTGTGACCATGACCTTTGACCCCAGGACCTTGAAATCAATAGGAATCATCCTCCACCTATGAKGTGTCCAGTCTCATGGGTCAAGGGTCCATTTTGAAATTCCCATGTGAAAGGGTAACTAAGAGTRTAAGACTGTGGCTCCACATTGGATCTTAGCTTTATTAAAACCAAAATCTTAAWTGGTATTGGTGAAGTCTACTACTCCGATCATATATGGGCTGGTCGTCTTCAACAGGCAGGGTCTTCACATTGCTRCACTTTCATGTTCTTTAATTGAGCTGTTTGTCAATTTACACCATGGACATTGTCATTATTTACCCCCAAACACAACCAATGTACTTACYAGAAACATTTATTCAGGATTGATGTTTGAGAAAAATCATATTGTATTTTCATTACTCTGATGAGAACATTTTGTACCATTGATGGTAATCTTGTTTACTTTTAAGATTGCTGTTAAGGACTGTCACGTGAATCAGTGACATCTTTGTTCATAAAACATTTATTKGCTTGTTAAAAATGTGAAAACTCTTCCATTTACTGTGAGTCACATTGTTAACAGTGAGAACGGTAAAAAGCAGAGAACTTAACAACGCCTGAAAATAGAACTCATATACAGAATCTGAACTGTTAAAATGGTTTGAAACAGAAAAGATCCACTCTTTTCTGCGAAGACACTCTTTCACACACACACACACACACACACACACACACACACACACACACACACACACAC